TTTTTTTTTTACTCAGAGCCTGTGCTGTTGCTCGCCGCCGAAAACCACCGCCCCAACAAAACCAGCGCTCCCGCCCGAGACCTCTTTCCCGTTTTACGCTGGATTGGCGCCCTGCTCTCTTCTGAATGGGCCCCGCCCCCAGAAAAAACAACGCTCCCGCTCGAGGATTCTTTTTTTTGTTGCTCAGAGCCGGTGTTTTTGCTCGCCGCCGAAAACCGCCGCCCCAACAAAACCAACGCTCCCGCTCGAGACTTCTTCCCGTTTTACTTCGGACTGGCGCGCTACTCTTTCGCTCATCGGCGCCGCCCCCAGCAAAAGCAACGCTCCCGCTCGAGACTTTTTTTTTTTTTACTCAGAGCCGATGTTTTTGCTCGCCGCCGAAAACCGCCGCCCAAACAAAATCAACGCTCCCGTTCGAGACCTCTTCCCGTTATACCTTGGACTGGCGCGCTACTTTTTCGCTCATCGGCGCCGCCCCCATTAAACACCACGCTCCCGCTCGAGACTTTTTTTTTTTTACTTAGAGCCGGTGTTTTTGCTCGCCGCCGAAAACCGCCGCCCCAACAAAACCAACGCTCCCGTTCGAGACTTCTTCCAGTTTTACCTTGGACTGGCGCGCTACTCTTTCGCTCATCGGCGCAGCCCCCAGCAAAAACAACGCTCCCGCTCGAGACATCCTCTTTTTTTTACTCAGAGCCTGTGCTTTTGCTGGCCGCCGAAAACCGCCGCCCCAACAAAACCAGCGCTCCCGCCCGAGAACTTCTGTTTTACGCTGGACTGGCGCCCTACTCTCTTTTGAATTGGCGCCGACCCCAGCAAGAACAACGCTCCCGCTCGAGGCCGTTTCCTGAGGACGGTGTTTTTGCTCGCCGCCGACAGCCCCCGTCCCGACAAAACAGTCTCGAGACGTCTTCCCTCCTTACTCAAGGCGGTGTTCCTCCTCGTCGCCGGCAACCGCCGTCCCAACAGAACCAGCGCTGCCTCTCGAGATTTCGTTTTGTTTTGCGCTGGACTGGTGCCCAACTTTCTTCTGCATTGGCGCCGCTCCCAGCAACAACAGCACCCCTGCTCGAGACACCCTGCCTTTCTATTCAGGGCCAGGTCCTTGCCTCGCCGCCGACAGCCCCCATCCCCACCAAACCAATCCTGTCGCTCGATATTTCCTTGTGCTTTACCCTTGGCTGGGGCTCCACTGGCGGTCTCGCATCGTCGCAGCAGGGCGCGGGCATGTGTTTTAGAGGCGGGATATGTTGAAATTCCTCGGAGGAGGTGTTTGCAAGACGTCATTGGGCGGGAGATCTGGGAATTCGAATAACGGACCCCTGCGACTGAACAAGAATCCCCCATTTTTGGGATGTTTATCATGATGGTCACATGCTGCGTGTGGAAGCATCGCGCATGAGGGTCAACTGATTGTTGCTGTTGTTGCTGTTGCTATTGCTGTTGCTGCTGTTGTTGTTGTTGTTGTTGTTGTTGTTGTTGTTGTTGTTGTTGTTGTTATTGTTGTTGTTGTTGTTGTTGTTGTTGTTGTTGTTGTTGTGTTTGTTATTGTTGTTGCTGTTGTTGTTGTTGCTGTTGTTGTTGTTGTTGTTGTTGAACATTATTAATTCTAAAGAATAATTATTGTTGGGACCCCTGGTGCGCGCCCCCCCCGCCGCGCCTAGGCCGCAGCCTCATTTTCATCATTTTCGTGCGGAAGTCTCAGGCAAAACGGGGGAGTCCGGATCCGGTTGTGTTGTTACGATCGGTTTTCCCTTGCAAACAATAAGCTAAAGTTGACATTTCTTGTTCTAACATAACCAAACTTCAAGAATCCCTTGCAAAAAATGACACGAAGTACACATTCGCGCGCGCAAGACGAAATCCTTCCAAAACCTTAGTCTTCGCAGCGATTTTCACATAAAAACATGAAAAACCCAATGGTTTTTCAAAAAAAGGGTTTCAAAAATTCACCCCGCGCGCTCTTGCGGATTTCTTAGGAAACCCAGTACTTTTTCAACATTTCTGTCAAACGGGCTCTTGCGAGCAACTTTTTCACGTGCTTCGAACTTCTGCAACAAAGGTACATGTGTCCAGTGTTGGAACAGGGGGAAAAGTCGTATACTAAGCTAGCTTCCACAAAATGTTACCACAACAAGTCACTGTACCCATGCGCCAGTGTAGTAGCCAAGGTCGTCCGCAGGCCACGAAGTGAAGTGTCCGAACGTCATAGGGCGGGAAGCTGGGTGTGGGTGGTGGCGAAGAGTCGTTTGGAAATTTGGTAGAGCTTGAACCGGCCCCCCCACAAAGTGGGGGTATTGCCCGCCTCCTATGAAAACCCTGGCACTGGTGAGAACGGAGTGTCCCCAGTCTTAAATGATTGTTGTTGTTGTTGTTGTTGTTGTTGTTGTTGTTGTTGTTGTTGTTTTGTTATTGTTGTTATTATTGTTGTTGTTGGTGTTGTTGTTGTTGTTGTTATTGAACTCTCACTTCTGAATAATTATTGTTGTTCCCCCCCGTCTGGTGCACATTGTTTTTTCGATTGAAATGCCCTTCCCGGGGCTCGATTATATATATAATAATAAAAACATAAGGGGACGTCTTGAGGGTCAATCTGCGTTGTTGGCCCCCGGTTTACAACATTAACGGCTCCCGCCGGATACTTCTCCACAAGTTATTGAAGAATCGCGCTCTGGCTTGGGACTTCTTCGCAACTTACCACCGAATCGCTGCTCCCGCTTGATTCGTCCTCAGAATGTATTCAGATGCTGCTCCTCGACACTCAGGAATCGCGCTCCCGCTACATATTGCCTGGCGGTTCAAGCAGAATTTACGCTTCAACGACCCGCCCGCTCGACCCGCCCGTCTGGGCCTGCCCGCCCGACCAGCCCGTCATGGATTGCACTCGCCGCTCGCTGTCCATCGCCCGCCTTCGATGCCCCTCGCTGCTCGTACTGGTTCCGCGGTCGCCTTCGTTCGCTGCCCTTCGTGGCCCCGTTGCTGCCCTCAGTGGCCCCGTCGCTGCCCTCCGTTGCCCCCGCTCGCAGTCGCCCGTCGTGGCCCCATACGCATGCCCTTCGTAGCCCCGCTGTCGCCCTTCGTGGCCCTCTCGCTGCCCTTCGGGGCCCCTTTGCTGCCCTCAGTGGCCCCGCGCTCCTCTCGACACGGTTGCAGTTCTCACTATCATTCCGCCCCACTCTACCAACATACCGCTTTTGCCTGGGTACCACGAAATTTGTTTCTGACACCAGTTCGCAGCTGTACGTCCCCCCGTGGGGGTCTCCACGATATGTTCTTTCAAGGGGGTGGTACGTGGCGCTGTTTATGGCGCGACCCATGGCGAAACTTATTGTTAACCTGTGTTGGAGTGGCTGGCGCAAGCCATGGCGCAATCTGAATCGCCATTCACAGCGCAAATCATCGTCCTCCCTCCTCCTTGCCCCTCCCTTCCATTCCTCCGATCCCTTCGTCCTCATTCCCCCCGTTATCTGGTACCCTTCGGTTTCTAGGGCTTCACCAACCACGCGTGGCATGGAATGATTATACCCCCCAGAAGGGGTACGATCGGAAACGAAGAGGGCGGGCATCCGGGGTTTGGGATATGCACATTGACTGGCACGCGAGCAAATAAGAACGAACCGTCTTAAACTGATGGTTGTTTGTTTTTTCGTTTGTTTACTTGTTGGTTTGTTTGTTGATTTCCTTTTCCAACCAGCGCAACAGCTTCACGAATGGAGGATGGTGTTTGAACATGTGGTTCTCGCCCTCGCGCCGCGCTCATTCGTTGTAGGATCTCGCAGCAGCTTCAGGGGTCTTTACGGTTAGCGCCCCAGAACTGTTTTTTGGTATGCTGTCGGAGCGTCAGGGCGCAGCAATCAGGTTGAATCGCGGAGTTGACCCTCCCGGAATGGTGTTCTGGCACGATTCAGGATCGTCAACACGCAGCAGTAGCGGTGATTCGTGGGGTTGAAGTCCCCAAAACGCTGTCCTGGCACAGTTCCAAATGTTTAGACGGTTGTCTTCCAACGGGGCATTTCTTTCAGTTGAAAAGAGTTATAGTAAAACGCTTACGATGAAGTAGGTTAACGGGATGGTTTATTGCAATCTCGTTGGTGAGTTTTGGGTTTGCACTGGTCCCCCTCCTCGTTCTCCTCCTCCTCCTCCTCCTCCTCCTAATCCTCCTCCTCCTTCTCCTCGTCCTAATCCTCCTAATCCTCCTAGTCCTCCTCCTCCTTCTCCTCGTCCCAATCCTCCTCCTCCTCCTTCTCCTCGTCCTCCTAATCCTCCTCCTAATCCTCTTCCTCCTCTTCCTCCTAATCCTCCTCCTCCTCCTCCTCCTCCTCCTCCTCCTCCTTCTCCTCGTCCTCCTATTCCTCTTGTTTTGCTTTGCGGTCGCGTGCGAGGAGCCGCGCCGCGGGATCCGAGAGCGGCCCGAGGCACGTGGCGCAGCGGCCGAGTCGTGCGAGGGCAGAGCCGCGGAACATCTTTGATCGGGTACACCCCAGAGGTACCCCCTCCGCCATGACGAGGATCCATCCGTTCCAGAAAGTTCTCAGAGACTTGCGGAGCGCTCTGAGAAGGCAGCGACGTCCAGAGCCGCCGGGTCCCAGAAATTCTCGATGTATCCTCACCCGAATTTACCGTCGTCCTGGCTTCGTCTTAGGGGGAAGTCAGCCACGCGCAGAGGGGGGGATTTCTTTCTAATCCTCGCTCTCCTCCTCTGTGTGGGGGGGGGGAGAGAGGGCGTCCCGGGCAAGCACACTGGCGGCAGGGACAGCCTGCGGCGGCCACCAGGTTTCAAAACCACCTCCACCAGCAGGGCTCTGATTGGAAACCTGCCTCTTCCTCCCTCCTCCTCCCCCCTCCTCCCCTCTCCCTCCTCCTCCCTCCTCCTCCTTCCCTTCGTAGGAAGAGGACGAGGAGGAGGAGGAAGAGGAGGAGGAGGAGGAGGAGGAGGAGGAGGAGGAGGAGGAGGAGGAGGAGGAAGTGGAAAAGGAGGGGCCCGTTGCGTTGGAGGGGAGGCCAAGCGCGACGCGCAGCGGAAGCAGCTGCGGAAGCAGGCGCAGGCGTCGGCTGTCGGCAGCCGCCTGGACGCCGAGGAGCCCCGATATCGCTCTGGGCCTCCTCCCTTCGCCATGCGGGAAACGGGTCCTGAGGGAAAAGGGAGGTCATGAGATTTGTATCGCCGTTTTCGGGCCCTCGGGGCCCTCCGCGGGCTCCCG